GTGTACGAACGTAGGCTTAACAACTTCTGTGGGTGTGTACTCCACGCCAGTGTAGTAGCCACGGTCGTCCGCAGGCCACGAAGTGAAGTGTCCGAACGTCATAGGGCGGGAAGCTGGGTGTGGGTGGTGGCGAAGAGTCGTGTGGATATTTGGTAGAGCTTGCACTGCCCCCCCACAAAGTGGGGGTATTGGCTGGCGTCGCATGAAAACCCTGGCACTGGTGAGAACACTGAGCGTTCGGGTAAAGTGATTGTTGTTGTTGTTGTTGTTGTTGTTGTTGTTGTTATTGTTGGTGTTGTTGTTGTTGTTGTTGTTATTGCTGCTGCTGCTGTTGTTGTTGTTGCTGCTGCTGCTGCTGCTGCTGCTGTTGTTGTTGTTGTTGTTGTTGTTGTTGTTGTTGTTGTTGTTGTTATTGTTGTTGTTGCTGTTGTTGTTGTTGTTGTTGTTGTTGTGGTTGTTGTTGTTGTTGTTGTTGTTGTTGAATGTTACATTCTACACAATTATTATTGTTGGACCCCCCCAGGCGCCTTGGCGCTCTACCCTCGGCGCCGGCTACATTTTCATTGAAAATGAGGCTCACGCTCGAGTGGGTTGGGGGGGCGCCCAAACCGGCCCCCCAGCAACAACAACGCTCCCGCTCGAGGTTTCCTTCTTTTTTGCTCAGGGCCGGTGCACTTGCTCGCCGCCGAAAGCCGCCGTCCCAACAAAACCAGCGCTCCCGCTCGATTTTTCCTCCCGTTTTACTCTGGACTGACGCGCTACTCTTTCTCTCATCGGCGCCTCCCCCAGCATCAACAACGCTCCCGCTCGAGACTTCCTCCATTTTTTACTCAAGACGGTGCTCTTCCTCGCCGCCGGAAACCGCCGTCCCGACAAAACCAACGCTACCGCTCGGGACGTCCTCCCGTTTTACCTTGGCCTGGCGCGCTAGTCTTTCTCTCATCGGCGCCGCCCCCAGCAACAACAACGCTCCCGCTCGAGACTTCCGCCTTTTTTGCTCAAGGCGGTGTTCCTCCTCGCCGCCGGAAACCGCCGTCCCGACAAAACCAGCGCTCCCGCCCGACACTTTCTCCCGCTTTGCGCTGGACCAGCAAGAACAACGCTCCCGCTCGAGGCTCCTCCCTTTTTCCTCAGGACGGTGCCTTTCCTCGCCGCCGACAGCCCCCGTCTCGACAAAACCACGGCTCCCGCTCGAGACTTCCCCCCTTCTTACTCAACGCGGTGTTCCTCCTCGCCGCCGACAACCGCCGTCCCAACAAAACCAGCGTTCCCGCTCGAGATTTTCTCCAGCAGCCCTACTCCCTACTCCCTTCAGCACTGGCGCCGCTCCCAGCAACAACAGCGGCCCTGCTCGAGACTTTCTCCCTTTCTATTCAGGTATTCAGGGTCAGGTCCTTGCTTCGCTCGATACTTCCTTGTGCTTTACCCTTTGCTGGGGCTCCACTGGCGGTCTCGCATCGGCGCAGCAAGGCGCGGGCATGTGTTTTCGAGGCGGGATAGGTTGAATTTCTTCGGAGGAGGTGTTTGCAAGACCTCATTGGGCAGGATATCTGGGAATGGGAGTAACAGACCCCGCTATAAAAATGATAATCCCTCATGATGGGGATGGTTATCATGATGGTCGCATGCATCGTGTGGAAGCATCGTTCATGAGGGTCAAATGATTGTTGTTGTTGTTGTTGCTGTTGTTGCTGTTGTTGCTGTTGTTGCTGTTGCTGTTGTTCCCCCCCCCCTCCCCTCACCGCACGCATACACCGCATATTTTCCTCTTCCCTCCCCCCACAGAATATTCAACGGTTTTCCGTCGATTCTGGCCCTCGGGGGTCGTCTGCGGGCCGGGGGACTCGAGAGTGGACCCGGGACGAATAACCTGCCATGGGAAACATCTCGTCGTCGGATGTTTGGGTGCAGATACTCCGAGCGTAGTGATTGCCTGTGGTTGCTGTGGTTACTCTGGTGCGAGCGTGCGCGTATGCGCGCGTGCCTGTGGATGTGCCTGTGTGAGCGGCTGTGTGCGCGTGCGCGCGCGTGCGCGCGCGTGCGTGCAGGGTTGTGGTATGTGAGCGACGGGAGGGGCGGATGTACGGCGTGT